AGGCTGAATCTACACAAAGAACACCCCCACACCAACGGGCCCGCATCGAAACACTAAGCGAACCGCAGAGGACGCCGAACCCACCATTCCGAATTGTAAACAAACAACGAACCTCGCCCAAGAACACAGCCACATTAAAGCACACTAAAGAAAGCACCCCCCCCAAACAGCACCGGTCCTCAGCATATGCATCGCACCTCATATCGAGACCACATCCATCCAAAAAGCCACAACGCTGCGACACTGCACAAACACCACACACCGCAAATCACGGCGAACTCGCTAGATAGCGGAGAAATCAACAACAGCAACGCGACACCAACACGAGTGAAGAGCAAAAAGGGCACACACTTGTCGACACAACAGCACTCCAAAAAGCTGACGTAACGCAAAAGAAGCTCGAAAAACAGTTAAGAAATCAGGTTTCCGGCAACACCAGCCGCGAAGATCAAGATCGTATGGCCAAAGCGCGAAAGAAAAGAACTGGCTCGGTGCGCAGCGTCACGGCGAGGGCGACTAAGCTTTAATAGCATGTGTTGATGCCACATTCAGGTTGATTCAACCCAATTTACTGTGCTGAACAACAATTGAACAATAAGTGATGAAAAATTGGACAATAAGCAAAGGAAATTTGAATAACAACTATCAACAAGCGAAGGAACCGAGGGCGATCTCGCAAAACAGGGTCGGGCACAGGTCAGTCTCGTAAAGAGGGTTGAGAACTGGGGCAGACGGCAACCATCCATTTATGATTTATCATCATAAGAAAACTTTCCCACTCTTCATTGGGGCACGAGAACTATGAGCAACATGTTCAAAACCGGCTAACCTGGTCCTGGGCGGAACCCTTGGAACGCATCCTCAGCATTTATTCGGCACTCAATAGCATGGCCTGAAAGTTTCAGATCATCCTGTTGCAAAACAGAAGGCCAGAACACCAACGGTCGGGATATGAGTTGGCACACATGAATGCGGTGGCCGAAGACTATGCAAATTTGTCAACATTCACTCACACTTCACATCACTCACAAATTTGAGGCAGAACTTCCTACCTCAGATTCTTTTCTTGATAACATCCATCCCAAATACACCAAGCCCTCGCCCACACACCGCATTCTCATTTCTCAAAGGTCTAGAAGGCTCCGAAGACATCACACCCACTAGCTCCCTCCCTACTAGACTGCATCTCCAATCCCTTACCAAGTGTACCAGTGCTTGTTCAGAGATTCATGAGCAAACACACTCAGATAGAGGAGAATGGATGGAAAGAGAGAAAGAGGGAGATGTGGGAAGCAGTTTGCTGGGTTCAAACCCCATCAGGCGACAACACGCTAGAGTCTAGAGTCTAGACCCCTAAGAAATGGGGTTCTGTCATTAACTACACCAGTTCACAGCTTCATATAACGGAAAAAGGCACAGAGGCGACATATCAACACTTTGACACTCTTCAGAGAACTAAGGGGCTTGCAACAAAGGAGCTCATAGGCTCACAACACACTTTGCACTAAGGGTAGAACAGTCTGGTACCAGCAGCCAAGGTAATTCCAGCTTGCAGTTAAAGGTAGAGGTGATCCCCGCCCAGGTTGATTGTGAGTCAGATGGGTAGGGCTGGGCACTTTAAATAGTCTCCCGCTGATCATCTTTCATGATTCATCTTGATGATGGTTCCCCTTTACTTAAGGGTAGAGGTCATCCACACTCTGGTTGGCGGTGAGTTCGATGGGTAGGACTGGGTACTCTCCCACTGCTTATCTTTGTGGCTGACCTTAATAATGGTTCTCCTCCACTTGTGCTTTGGTTTTTATTGTTGAAAGTAGAGGTGATCTACGTCCAGGCTGGTTGTGCGTTGGATGGGTAGGACTGGGTACTTTAAATAGTCTCCCGCTGCTCATATTTCACGGCTGGCTTTGATGGTGCTTCACCTTTACTTACGGGTAGACGAGGTCCACGTCCTGGTTGGCTGTGAGTCGGGTGGGTGGGACTGGGTACTTCACCCGCTGCTCATTTTCCATGGTTGACCTTGATGATGATGGGTCCCCTACTGGGTTCATCACGACCGCACCACCTCCTGTTCTGGATCCTTGAAGTGTGGTTGGGTCCGTGGTCGGGGATTTCCACGCTCCCAGGCAACAAGGCCACAACAAATTCTAATGTGAAATAAGCAAGTGGAGAACCAATGGTGAACTTGCACTGTCAAATCTGGTGTACAATTCAGTAAGTGTCTGACTTCGAGTAGCAGAATACAGAGTCTGTGGGCATGGTATCGTTGGCAACCGCATGAGACGTCCCACCATGATCAACAGGAAATCTCATGCTGTTTCATATATCAGCTTGTATGTTTGTGATCTTGTAATCTGTCACTGATCTGTTTGTGACTCCCGTCCCCCAACATTCTTATAAAGATATGCACTGAAAAAGTGGACACCGAAAACGAACTTAAGGAAACTGCTTAAGACATCTGACACCCCTCCCGTCTCTCTCCATAGACTGATACATCAGAGGAGACAGACTATAGAGAAGGGGACAGACAGACAGACAGACAGACAGACAGACAGACAGACAGGCAGGCAGGCAGGCAGGCAGGCAGGCAAAGCAGGCAGGCAGACAGACAGACAAACAGACGGAAGGACCGATGGACTGACGGACTGACGGACCGATCGACGGACGAACGGACGGACAGACCGACCGGACCCGACCGGACCCGACCGGCCGCCCGGCCGCCCGCCCGGCAGACAGACAGACAGCGTACACACAGACGGACGGACAGACAGACAGAAAAGCAGACAGACAGTCGGACAGACAGGCCGACCTGTGTGAATCGAAGCTTCTTCCCCATTGCAACCCGTATCTGCTCCTCAATAAGGTCGACAGAGTATATTATCTCTGTCACTGGATGCTCCACCTGCATCACCATAGCATGTGCATTAGAATAAGACGAAATGCACACACGATCAGACTTCAAGCACCATAGATTCAATTTTTCCACATCATAACAGCCTCAGATGGTCATGGCATTTCATATGCAAAGATATGACCAGAATGTAACTCCCATTTCCAGTTTCAGATTCCACTTCAAGTCCCGTTTTCCATGTTCAACTCCGAGTTCCATTTTCAGGTTCCAGTTGAGCTCCAGGACACAGTTCCAGTTCCGGTTTCAGCTTCCCCACTCTCACTTCGGTCCACATTTGGTGTGACGGGACTGAGGCAGAGCAGAGAGGCTGGGGAAGAGAGAGGGAGAGAGTGAGAGCACACACACACACTCACTCAACTCGGCACGGACTCGACACGACTCGACAGATGCAGACACGAAGTGGCAAAGTCACAAAGTCGCAGTCTTGGATTCCGAGCACAATGTCGCAGCAAGTCACACTGAAGCACAAGCACTGAGGCTGAAAACTGAGTGCCCAAACTCAGCTTGAGTCCGGTCTTAAGTACCGGACTCAAGTTGAGTCCCGAGGGCAGAAGTGCAATTTGCCTCAGGGCTGAACTGAAAATCGAAGGTCTGAGTCTGGGCACCAGAATGCCGGATGGCGCCAAGTATCGAAATCCGAAAGTGCCAGAGGAGGGATTTTGAGAACGGGCACCAACTGCAGGGGGGGCCAACAGTCAGGAACCGGAGATCAGAGACTCAAAATAAAATAGCAGCCTGGCGGGTGGTAACCCGCGGACCAGGGATCGAGCCCTGGATGAGTCCGTAACACTATCCCCTCCCTCCGGGAGGCAACGTCCCATCTGCCAAAGATCCAATGAACAACTGTGAAGGACGGGACGGGGCGATCACTAGTTAGAAAAGGAAAGGAGGGAGTAATGCAAGTAGCAGGATAATCCTAAGGAGGTTCTACAGGGATGAGGGAATCAGTGCTCAAGTAACGGGGTAATCCTATTGAGGTTCTACAGGGGTGACGGAATCAATGCTCAAGTAACAGGGTAATCCTGTTGAGGTTCTACAAGGGTGAGGGTAGCAATGTTCAGGTAACAGGGTAATCCTATTGAGGTTCTACAAGTAACAGGGCAGTCCTATTGGTGTTTTACAAGGTTATAGGTTGTCAGGTTTGAGAAAAATAAAAAATAAAAATAAAAATAAAAATAAAAATTGTTTGTTCAATGCTCAAGTGCTGGGGTGTCTGAGGGGTCTGGGAAAACAACGTCTCAGGTCTGTAACAAAGTGTCAAAAGGGAAGGTCTTGGCGGGTGTCGCAGAAGTGGCGGTGAGGAAGCAGTCTTCAGCAGTTCTGTGATGTAGACGGCGAGGGCTTCAGCTTGATTGTCCCAGTAGCAGGTTGCGTCCGGTACACGATCTGAAAATGAGGTCTGATCCGGATAGCAGGTCGCAGACTGATCTTGATGTCCATGTCAAAGGTGCTACTCCAGAAGTCTGCGAGTCCAAGGTGCCGGCCAAAGGGAACAGCATGGTGGCCAACAAGCTGTCTTATCTTCTCGTACTGAGCTGCAGCATGCCATCATCCTCGTGCACTTGCCATCAGATCCGTTATCGCCGGCGACGCGCAGGGGCCACATGTAGGACTTAGACAAGAGGGACAAGGATGTGGTAGAGGACGGATGGGAGAACGGGGCGAAACGGCGGCAAGAGCGGATCAGACAGAGGGGGGTCAAGGGGCAAGGGTTTTGCTGGGTACAGGGGATGTGTGTAGTGCAGGGAGGCAGGGTTGAGGCAGGGTTTAGGCGGGGTTTTGGCATAGTGGGTAGCTAGGATATAGGATGGGCGTGATCATAGGCGCAAACAAGTTTCATGGCATTCGTAAGGTTAGCAAGCGGTTCCCATGTGGATTCTTCGTCAGGGTATCCTGTCCATTTAACTTTGTATTTTGTGATTGGTTCAGGGTGGTCAGATACCTGAGTAGTTCTTCGTCCTATGATGGTTTCAACAACGAATTCAGGGCCTGTGGGTGACATGATTGCTGGAGGTCTAGGATATGGGCGGTCAGCGAATTGGGGTGGGGATTCATGATATTCTTTTAGGTATTCTACGTGGAAGACAGGGTGGACATGACTCATGTCAGGGGGGAGTTGGAGTTTGTAGTTGACGGGGGAGGTTTGTTCAACGATGGGGAAGGGTCCGAGGCAATTGTCCTGTTCGGGTTCAAAGCGTTTGGCGGAGAGCCAGACTTTGTCCCCTTTTCTGAATGACATGTCACATCTGTGTTTGTTAGTCTTGTTGGCTTGTTGTTCTTGTGTTCGTTCAAGGGCTTCGGTGGCTTCTCCGAGGAGTCTGTTCATTGTTGCTACCCATTCACTGAGAGAAGGCTAGGGGGTGCAGGGGTTAAATTGAGGAAGCAAAAAGTCAGAGGGCAAGCGAGGATGGTAGCCAAGGTCGAGGTAGAATGGGGACATGCCAGTGGAGGGACATACGACGTTGTTGTAGGCGATCTTGGCGGTTGTGAGCAACTGGTCCCAGTCGTGTTGGTGTGGATGATGATACCTCCGCAGGATTCTTTGGAGAGTATTGTTCATCTTCTCGGTTTGTCCATCGGTCTGAGGGTGGAATGCAATGCTATACTTGGGCGTGGTTCCGTAGGCTTTGAAAATGTGTTTCGAGAATTGTGAGAGAAAGCGTGGATCACGGTCACTGATGATATTCTCAGGGAGGCCGTGATGGCGTGCGACATGATCAAAGAAGAGTGGCAGCATCTTTGGCGTTGTGTGAAGTAGTGCAAGGGATGAAGTGCGCGCGTTTGGTCAAGCGACAGACGATGACACAGATGCAATCATGGCCACGGTCAGTCTTGGGGAGACCGCACACGAAGTCCATACAGATGGACTGCCAACGGTGAGTGGGAATAGGCAACGACTGTAACTTGTCGGGTTTGGCCCGATTCGAAGGGTTGACGACTTGGCATGTGGGCCATGAGCGGATGTAAGCTTTGAAGTCGGCGAGTAGGGCAGGTCATTGAAAGTAGCGGGAGATCGTGTCGAAGGTTTTCTCGAACCCAAGATGTCCGACTGTCTTGGCATCGTGGTGTTCGACCAAGAGCTGGGTACGGAGACCACGTGCGTCGGGGATGCAAAGTCGGCGAGTGCCTTTAGTATCGATGTAAAGGAGATTATCGTGAAGGGAGTAGTTGCGGACAGGGGTGAGGTCACAAAGCTTATTGAGGGATGCGAAGTTTGGGCACGAGAGATAGCCTTGGGTGCAGCGATGAAGAAGAGACGGGAGGGGTTGGATATGCGTCATTGCGGCATAAAATTTCTCAGGGGTTTGTGATCGGGGCGCCGGGAGAGGGCATCGGCAACACGGTTGCTTTTGCCGGGTGTATGGCAAATGGTGAAGGTGAACTGGGCGAGAAAGTCTAACCAGCACGCTTGTTGTGGGGTGATGTCTTTCTTTGTTAGGGTAGAAGAGACAATGGTGTTATCCATGCGGATGGTGAAATATTGCTCGTCGAGGTACGGGCGCCAGACTTTCGAGGTCGTGAATCACGGCGAGGAGTTCCTTCTCGTTGGAGGAGTAGTTCATCTTCGCAGGAAGGAGCTTCTTGCTTGCGAAGAAGATGGGGTATTCGTCGGGTGGGGCCTCGGGGTGGGTGGGGGAGTCTTTGATGAAGGGGGTTTCAGAGGTGTCGCGAGGAAAATGTTGCAAGAGGACGGCTCCAAGTCACATATACAGAGATTATTCATATGAATCTATGAAAACTGACAATTACTATTATAAGATAAAATGCAAAAAAAACAGTATTATAAAAATTCAAATAATGTAAGTTGAAAAGAAGTTGCGAGTAATAAATTGTCCTGTCGATCTATTGACTGTTCCATTTTTAGAGAATGTCAATAAGTTTCAAAACCTGTAATGACCCGCCATAACACAGACTGAGAACACTGCTGATTTATGAAGTTTTGCCGATGGAATGGATGCCTTGCTGAGATTCCCGCATTACCGCATTCTGCTGTGTTTCTAAGTCTGTATGTGTGTGTGCCTGTGGACTTGCGTGCCTTTCTGAGTGCTTGTCGGCATGAGTGTGTGTGTGACCCGCAAAGGTACTTGCTTGTTTGGCAGACCCGTAGGGACGGTACTTACCTGTGGCCGTGGCATTGAGGGTTGCAGCAAGGAAAACACTCAAGTAGCGGAGCCGGGGGTCCGCGGTGCTTAGAGCAGCGGAAAAACACTCAAGTAGCAGGTAGGCCGGTACCGCACCCAGTAGCAGTAGATGTGCCGGGTACTCGGGGCCGAGCCAAAGAAGACAAAGTTGGCATTTTTAGAGGCCCAATAGCGGCAGGCTAGGTCTAGGCCGGTACCAGTCCATCCAGTCTGAGTCTAGAGCTTGTACGAGCAATATCAGAGTCTGCAATTATGTTTCCCTCCGAAAGGGAGGAGGTACCGATTGCTTGGGAGGCCGAGCGACCTGGAAGTCACCGCCCAGGAGGCAAGCAGGCCGCTATATCAAGAGGCCGAGGCAAGAGCTCGGCCTCATTCTTCAGTGTGCACGTTTGGCGACACGCTGCTGGAGCTGGCTGGAGTGGCGCTGGGTACTACAGTGTTGCTGGGAGAAAGAAGTCGGGAGCTTCTACCTTGGCTATGGTGGAGGTCTACTGGTAGGAGGAGGAGGGAGAAGGGGACCAAGGAGGAGAGTGGTGATGTACTTACCTGGCTATGGTTAGACACCATCTTCATCACCTTGCTAAGCGCTGCTTCAGGAAGGCCCCAGTGGGGGTAGTGCCGCATCAAGGAAGCTTGGAACAGAGTCAGGCATGGCGGCTGAGTGGGCAGCGGCATAGCTGCATGGTGTTGACCTTAAAGTGGGCCAGCGACATAGCTGCTTTGGGTTGTCCTTTGGACAGGAGGCTGAAGCCTCAGTAGTCCGCCATAGCCTCGACATGTATGTAGAGGAAGAGGAAGGATGGCCATGGCTATGGTGGACCTCATGTTGTGCCCGCAGTAGAAGTGGGA